GAGGCTGGCTTCGAACTCACAATTCTCCTACCTCCAAACCACTGGGATTACAGGCATGTGCCACCATGCCTGGCCCTGATTCATGTTTTAAGCCTCTGAGATCTGTGGGTATTTGTTATCCAGCAGTAAGTAACTGATACAAAAGAAGAGGTCAGAAACAAAAGGTGCCCCTGGAGGATTTAATGGGATATGACAAGGTGACCCTGACACACAAGGTGACCCTGGCAGACAAGGTGACCCTGGCAAGGTAGGAAGAATAAGCAGCATGTTCAGGAAGCAAGGGGAGTAAGGAATCTGTGAAAATCAATCTTCTGGAATTTTTTTTTTAATGGGATTTCTCTCTCTCTCTCTCTCTCTCTCTCTCTCTAGAGAGAGAGAGAGAAATTTTAAATATTTATTTATTTTTAGTTTTCGGTGGACACAACATCTTTATTTTATTTTTATGTGATGCTGAGGATCGAACCCAGTATCAGCCCCTCTTCTGGATTTTATTCACCATTCCATGTAGAATTGGTCCTAAGAAGTTACTTCAGGTGGTCCCTGATATGAGATCAACAGAATGCTGTGATCTTCATTCAGAAGATGGATTTTAGATGTGGTGGGTGGTGTGTTCCTCCAGACAAGTTCATCTCATTCCATCTGGAATGACTACACTCTACAAATAATGGTCACATTCTAGAAGGGCTGATTTTTCATTTAACAATATTTTTTTTTAATTACTAGGGATTGAATCTAGGGGTTCTCTACCTCTGAGCTACATTCCCACTCCTTTTTTAAAATAAAAACAAAAAACAAACTATTTTTAGTTATAAATGGACACAATACCTTTATTTATTTTTATGTGGTGCTGAGGATTGAACCAAGTGCCTCACATGTGCTAGGCAAGCAGCCCACTGAGCCACAATCACAGCCCACCCCCATTCCTTTTTATTTATTCACTTTTTACTTTGAGACAGGGCCTTATTAAATTGTTGAGGCTGGCCTCAGATTTGTGATTCTCCTGCCTCAGTCCCCCAAGTCACAGGGATTACAGGCATGCGCCACCAAGCCTTGCTAACGATTTTTTGAACTGTGTTCTATACCAGACCCTGGGATAATTACTGAATCAGATAAGCAATTATAAATGAGACACAGACCCTGCCTTTAAGAAGACTTAAATGTGGGCTGGGGATGGGGCTCAAGCGGTAGCACGCTCTCCTGGCATGTGTGAGGCCCGGGTTCAATCCTTAGCACCATATACAAACAAAGATGTTGTGTCCGCCGAAGACTAAAAAATAAATATTAAAATTCTCTCTCTCTCTCTCTGGGAAAAAAAAAAAAAAGACTGAAATGTGGAGGACGAGAAAGGCAAGAAAAATAATGACAACACTATGTAACACATGATGTGATAAATTAGGACAAACCCAGGCTACTAGGAGCCACCGAAGTAGTTAGGGAGGGCTTCCTGGAAGAGGTGACATGTTATCTTCATTTTGAAGAACAAATATTACTTGGCCTGAGGGAAGAGGCAATGGAGAATGTGAGGGAGCCTTCCAGATGGCAGGTAAAGCACGTGCAAAGACCCAGAAGGTTGTCTAGAGGATTAAAAAAACTAGTTAGTTCAGAATGACTATAATATAGGAAATAAGGGAAAGGGTAAGGCTGGCAAAGGTCCAGCTCTTACAGGGTCTCATATTTCCTGGAAGCCTTTGAATTTTTATTGTCAAAGCAATGAGGAGCAATTTTAGGGCTTTAATTAGTGACACGTCTTCACTAAATTTGCATTTTGGAAGAATTCCTCTTACTGCAATGAGTGCATGTGATTGAAGGGGACTAGTTGAGAGTCAAGACCTCTTGTCAGGTAAAAGGGAGAGTCCAAATAAAGTAATAACTAAGGTAAAGGCAGGAAGAACCTGGGACTGAGGATGTCAAGAAGACAGAAGCAATCAAGTTCATGATTAATTAGATACAAAGTAAGAGATACAGCAACAATGACTCCTGGGTCTCTGGCTTAGGAAACTGAATAAATACCTTACTCTGATATGGACCTAGGAAACAACATACGGGCATGGTGCTGCATGCTTATAATCCCAGCAACTTGGGAGGCTGAGGCAGGAGGTTTTCCAAATTTTTAGGCCAGTCTGGGCAACTTAGTGAGACCCTCTCAAAATAATATAAAAACAGGCTGGGTGCACAATTCACAATAGCTAGACTGTGGAACCAACCTAGATGCCCTTCAATAGATGAATGGATAAAAAAAAATGTGGCATTTATACACAATGGAGTATTACTCTGCACTAAAAAATGACAAAATCATGGAATTTGCAGGGAAATGGATGGCATTAGAGCAGATTATGCTAAGTGAAGCTAGCCAATCCCTAAAAAACAAATGCCAAATGTCTTCTTTGATATAAGGAGAGCAACTAAGAACAGAGTAGGGAGGAAGAGCATGAGAAGAAGATTAACATTAAACAGGGAGGAGAGTGGGGAGGGAAAGGGAGAAAGAAGGGTGATTGCATGGAAATGGAAGGAGACCCTCATTGTTATACAAAATTACATACAAGAGGAAGTGAGGGGAAAGGGGAAAAAAAAACAAGGGGAAGAAATGAATTACAGTAGATGGGGTAGAGAGAGAAGATGGGAGGGGAGGGGGGATAGTAGAGGATAGGAAGGGCAGCAGAATACAACAGACACTAGTATGGCAATATGTAAAACAGTGGATGTGTAACCGATGTGATTCTGCAATCTGTATACGGGGTAAAAATGGGAGTTCATAACCCACTTGAATCAAATGTGTGGAATATGATATGTCAAGAACTATGTAATTTTTTTTTTAATATTTATTTTTTAGTTTTTGGCGGACATAACATCTTTGTTTGTATGTGGTGCTGAGGATCGAACTTGGGCCGCAGGCATGCCAGGCGAGCGCCCTACCACTTGAGCCACATCCCCAGCCCCAAGAACTATGTAATGTTTTGAACAACCAATAATAAAAATTTTAAAAAAAAAGATACTCAGTAATTAAATAATAAATAAATATGAAAGGGAGAGTGATAGAGAAAGAAAACACCAAATCAATGCAGAAAAAATTATACAATGAGTAAAACAGTAAAATTTTAAATAAAGATACAATCAGTATTTAAAAAACAGGCTGGGGAGGGGATTAAGCTCATTGGTAAAGCACTTGCCTATCATGTGTGAGGCCCCGGGTTTGACCCCCAGTACTGGCAAAAAAACAACCAACCAGCCAAAGAACAAACACAGGGGAATGACCAGGAAAAAAAATGCAGGATACAGATCTCAAAGATACACCATAATTTAGTTTTTATGCTCTTTGTGTCTTCCAAATTTTTGACAGTGTACTATGTCTATAAACTTTCAGTTTTTTATTCCTTTCTTTTAAATCAGAGTGGCAGAGGAGAAAGCAAGAAAGACAACCAAAACGACCTAGTTTAGGAATTGTCACATGAGGATTGACTAAAGTGAACTGAAATTTCATACCTACTGTGGCAATGGTTGAGAGAAATGTCAATATTAGCTACAATGTACTGAGTGCCTAGTATGTACTACAATCACTCCCTATTTTATGGAAGTTAAAAAAATTTGGGTAATCCTAATTAGAATAAGATGTATAATATGTCAAAATACACTCTATTGTCATGTATATATATAAAATACCCCCCCCCCAAAAAAAAAAGTGTGTGTGTGTGTAGTGGGGAGGAAACTGAGGTTCCAACTAGGTTTGGTTTGTCTGGTTTCAACTCCTGATCTCCCCAAGCCATTGTACTAGGCTTTTCATCACTGAACCCTTTTTATGATTCTTAAATTTTTTCCCAAGGCTAGCCTTGAACTTGAGATCCTCCTGCCTCAGCCTCCCCTGTTGGGATTACAGGTGTACACCATCACACCAGACATAAAATCCTGATTTTTAAAATTATTATATAAAGTACAAGCAGATTAAAAAAGGGTAATAAGCAATTCACAAATCCTGCACAAAATTTTTCAAATGTTTAGGATATTGTAATGGTACTAGCTTGGTCGGGGCAGCCAGAAACATTCACAGCTCATACTCCATTTTTTTGTTTTTAGTTTTTCTTCCTGGAGAGCATGTATTATCTTTTTCTGAAGAATATGTTTAACATCCACAATATATACCCCTTGTGTATTGACAGAACCGATGTTGCATGATTTACATTGCGTGTGTCCCTTACATCTTCCCTCTGGTATTCGCCTCCCCACAACCTGGCTTCAGTGCTGGGATCCAACCCAAGGGCTCGTGCATGCTAGTCAAGCTACATACGCAGCCCAGTATTTGCTTTGTGCATCAATAAAGAATTGCAGAATAAATATTTATTCCTTCTAATGGACAATATGTCCCAGCCTACAAGACTTTCGAGCTTCAGGCTATCGAAACAACGTGCACAATTCCCCGCCTCATTTCCATGCAGTTCCTAATCCCACACACTTCGGGTGGCACTCTCGGATGCATTTAATTGTACCCACTTTCTCCTCCAGACGTCCCCCCCTCCCCCAGGGCCAAGGGCCCGGCGGCATGACCTTGGGTCATCCTCGTCCGCAGACGCGCGGGGTGACCTTGGGCAAGTCCCCGCTTTCCGCTGACCCGCGTAGCTGGACCCCTGGGTCCGGGCCAGGCGCCCACGCCCCTCTCTTTCCTATCTCCCTCTGCTCGCAGCCCAGGGTCCCCAGGCCTACGCTGCCAGCGTAGCGGCTGCCTGGAGTCGTGCGGCCCTCTCATTCCAGACGCTCGTTTACGCCGCGCAGAATGGGAGGGCGCGATTCCCAAAAGCGGCCTGCGCCAGGGGCTCCCGGCCGTCCCACAGGCTGGCACAGTCTTACGCTGCTGACGCAGCGCGCCCAAGATGGCGGCGCAGTCGTCGTCGGGGGTGGCGGCGGCAGAGGGGGCGGCGGCCGTGGCGGCAGCGGCGACGACAGCCGTGACGGCTGCGGTGGCAGCGCGGGACCTGGGCCGGGGGGAATGAGGCGGCCGCGGCGGGCGAGCGGCGGAGCCGTGTAGCAGAGAAGCGCCTTCCCCTCCCTGCTTCCCGTGGCCGAGCCGGGGACGCGCGCGCGCGGCCGTCAGGAGCGGGCTCTCCACCCCTCCACTCCCGCGACCCGCACCGCACCCCCACCCGGGCTCGGAGGATGATGAAGCTCAAGTCGAACCAGACCCGCACCTATGACGGCGACGGCTACAAGAAGCGGGCCGCGTGCCTGTGTTTCCGCAGTGAGAGCGAGGAGGAGGTGAGGCGCTGGGCGCGGCGGGGTCGGGGTCGGGGTCGCGGGCGGCTGGCGGCCACGGCGCGGGGGGCGCGGCCGCCCGGCGGGGTGTGCGCGGGCAGCGGACTGGGCCGCCCCGCTCCGCGCGACAGAAGTTCCGACGGAATTCCTGAGGCGGGGAAGAGGGGGACACAAAAGGGCTGGCGGGGCGGAGGGGAAGCGGCTGTGAGCGGGGCCGGGGTGGACGCGCCCGCCCGGGGGGATGCCAGGCTGCCGCCGGGGCTCTGGGGGCGGCCGCTGAGCCACCGGGGAGCGCCCGCGGGGAGCAGGCAGCGGCCGGGAGGGCCGGTCCCCGGTCCGGACCCCCAGCTCTGACCCAGGAAGGGCAGCTCCGCGCTTGTCAGCCCAGCACATGTGTGCAGAGGCCGCCGTGCACGAGGCGCAGGCCGGCCTTTGTGGCAGAGAATTAATTTTGTCGGCTTCGTTGGCAGGTTTGGGGTTTGTGAGGGATTCTGTGTGAGCCCACGCCAGGGACCGGGGTTGCATTAGGAAGATTTTGGACGTTGTGCACAAGCCAAAGCCAGCTGTTTATTTTACAGTGCGCTGGTTAGCCCTATGGTGTAGCCTGAGAAGAAAGGACACTTGAAAAAATAATTTCTGGGGAATGATTTTTTTTTTTTCGTTTTAATTGGGAAGACCAAAAGTGGCACTTAAGATCTCTGCGGTTCCTCCACTGACCTCTAGCAAGACCCTTAGGGTTAAATTTGCCAGGAAAATAGAAATGTTTTAGAATCTGTGTCTTTTTGCTTCGGGTACTTAAAAAAAAAAAAAAAGAAAGAAAGAAAGAAAGAAATCTCGTTTCCCCAAAGCCGTTTCTGTGGTGATGAAGGGAATTCAGGGAAGGCACATGTTTTGTAAATCCACAAAGAATAGCTGCTTTGGAAATTCATAAGATGCCTGTGGGAACACATTTTTCTCTTGTGCATGGTGGTAAAATGGCAGTTAGGCTGGAAACAATGAAGGACGGTGAAATTCAATATGTTATATTCCAACGATCAGCAGTGGGCTAGGGTGGCAGGGTTGCAGTACAGTGTAAGTGTTGAAATGGGGGGGAAAAGGAACTTGACCCGTTAGTTATGAAAAGAAGCTGTGATGAAAGAGACGGACGGACTGCCAGGAGTTGCTGCTGTCCAGAGATATTTAGGAGGAAGTGGGAATTTAAATTACTGCCTGAAGAAAATCAAGGAAGCATTAATTGTGCTCTTGAGGGATCCCATATGTGCCCTTTTCCCGCAAAATAGAAGAAAAGATATGGAAATGTATACTTTGTGACCTAGCCTATATTAAAAACGTCCCTCAAAGAGATGCTTGTAAGAGTGATACTAATCAGGGCCATTTTGTAAATTATGTACTGTTTTGGAATACATACTTGAGTAAAGTGAAATTATTGGTGGTGGTTCCTGTTTCAGAGGTTTTGATCTCTTCATTATCATATCATATTATGGGAAATCAGATGGTATCATAGGTTGTTAACTGGAGGGAAAGCAAATTAGCATAATAACGTTTTTCTACACTATGCTTAAGTCTGAGAGCACCCTAATTATAAGTAGAAGGGTGTATAATTTTGTCATGAATGATACAAGACTTTTTTTTTTTTTTTTCAAATCATACTTGAAATTGAAAGCATGTGAGTATTTGGGATGAATTGGAGACCTTGTGTAGATCATAAGCAAACTAATAAAAACTTGATTTTCTATTTTCTGTTAGAAGTTTTATCATGTACTGATATTAGCAGAGTTAATGTTGCATGTTTACTTGAATGTTTAGGCTGTCCAGCTGCTGCTTGCAAATTAGACTAGCCATAGGACCTGCGTTTTTAAGAGCTTAAGATCTTAACCTGTTGAAAGAAGTTTCTTGAATGGATTAAAAGATTTGCCTGATCATGGAGTTTCCTTTAGTGATTTCTTTTTGAACATTGGTTAATGAGCAGAAGAATCATGTAAATCTTTAATTACAGATTCAGTGGGTGTTATAGCTAAAGCCTGTGAAGAACAAGAAAAATAATGAAGTGGGCCCATTTTAGACTTATTCAGTTCATTTAAGCAAGTATGTTTTAAATAAAGAACCTACTATGGGTGCAGCTTTCTGTCATGTGAGATTTAAAGAAAAGCATTCCTTCTTATCCAAAAGTAGTTTTAGATGGGGTTTCTTAATTGAGAGGGATTTTGGACCACAAAATAATCTCCAGAACACTGTTCAACTTTCAAATTATATAATTGTGTTGGAAGGGAAGTGATTTGTTAGTTCCAGAAGAACTTTTATGTTCTCAATAGATGTGCCAGAGACTGGAAGTATTAGCCGCCACACATTGTGGGAAAGTGAAATTCAAACTTAACAGGACATTCAACCCAATTTTATTTTTTAATGGGAACTAATGGCTTTAATCAAGATAAATAGTTTACAGAATATTATTAGCATAATATAGTTCTAATGTAAGTATAAACATGAACCTTGATTCATAAATTTAATTAGCTAGTGTCAAGAAACAAAAACAAATGTGAGGAAAAAGATGGAACTATTAGAAGATAATTGACCATTGAATAAAACCCTCTAGCATTGTGTTTTTTTCAGCCTCAGAAAACTTTACTTATAGGCCAGTAGTGAGAACAGCTGAAATTCAGATCCAGGTTAGGATGTGTGCACATGGAATGTTTACTGAGTGCTCATTGAATGTTGGGAGTGAAGGAGACAGGCATGAAAGGAGGGGGCTCTGGGGTTAGTGGGAGAAATAGAAAAAGAGGCCCAAACACAAGATGAAAAGGAGTTCTCTGTCTTCCAGACTTCTGGCTTCTTTTCCTGTTGATAAACTAAAGTTAACCAGAAAAATTCTCCATAACAAGTTCTACTAATTATTTGATGTTTTGATGCTGGACATCAAACAATACATGCTAGGCCAGTGCTCTGCCTCTGAGCTGCACCCCCATCTCTTACTAATGTCATTAACATTTTGATAAAATCTTGAGTTTGGGGTATTTGTGATTATGAACACATTTCCTTAGTCCTGTGAACCTAATGTACAGGGGACGTGCTCTTAACCAGCCCCCACTCCAGTCAGCTTGGCTCAGTGAACATTGGTTACTCATCAGGCCACTGGGTTCCCTGTACCCCAGGCATGGTCTCCCAGAAGTGAAATTGTGTGCTTATAAGGAGTCACGTGTACTTATTCTTGTATCTGTTCATGCTCATCATATTTGTTGTTGTAATTATGCGACTTAATTAAATATGCCATAGGTCAGTGAAATTTGAGTTCAAAAAGGAATAGTTTATGAGGAATATTTTAAATGCTTTGGGAAAAGTCTATAAATGCAAGTCACTAAAATAAAATTACTGCTCAATTATATATGGCAGAACAGACTGGAAGAGATTGGGAAGAAATCTTGAAATTTTAGAAGGACTTTGCTTCTGTATTACTTTATGAATGTTTTTAGGATTTTGTTTTGTTTTGGTACTGGGAATTGAATCGAGGGGTCCTTAAACATGGAGCCACATTCCCAGCCCTTTTTATGTTTTATTTTGAGATAGCATCTCTCAGTTGCTTAGTACCTCCTCACTAAGTTGCTGAGACTGGCTTTGAACTTGTGATTCTCCTGCCTCAGCCTCCCAAGCCCTCTCTCCCTTTTCTTTTTCCTTTCTTTCTTTTTCATTTATTTATTTATTTATTTTCAGCCTCTATAATGAGGGGGAAGGGACAGTCTTATAAGAATTTGTACTCTGTCTACCCTCTCTGGAGGAGGGATGAAGAATGTAACACAGGCATTCCATACAGTTGAAATATCTAGGACTATGAAATACTCTTAGAAGAGCCAGTGATACGGAATATATGAAGATAATGTCACGGTGCCTGGGAGAGTTAAAGCTGCTCCTGAAGGTCTTTCTTTCTTTCTTTCTTTCTTTCTTTTTTTTTTGTTAGACAGGGTCTCACTATTGTCTGGTGTGGTTTCAAATTCTTGGACTGAAGTGATCCTCCCACCTCACCTTCCTAAAAAGCTAGCACTATAAGGAGAAAAAAAATGAAGACTAACAAAATTGTGTCAGTTAGAATTCCTTGTGTATTAGAGCTGTTTTCAAAAAGAAAGGATAATGCTGGGTGTGGTGGTTTCATGCCTGTAATCCCAGTGAGTCAGGAGGCTGAGGCAGGAGGATCACAAGTTTGAGGCCAGCCTCAGCAACTAAGTGAGACTCTAAACAACCTAGTAAGACCCTGTCTCAAAGTAAAAAAATAAAAGTAAAAAGGGCTGGGAATGTGGCTCAGGGTAAAGCACCCTTGGGTTCAGTTCCACAGTAATGTCTCCCCCCACACACCACCAAAAAATAAATAAGTAAACACCAAAAGGATGAAATTTAAATTTTAAACTTTTCCACCAGCAGCCCTACAACTCTTGGCTGGGGGAGTGCTTCTGCATTTTCTTAGATCCTGGAGCTCACCAGGTTGGTTAGGGAGATGACTGACACTGAAGATCCTCAGTAAGCAGAGACTCTGGTGGCCTGAGTGTTTGTCTATAAAATGCCCCAGAGGAGCAAGGGGAAGGACGTCACTGCAGACCACACCTTCCAGCAGGCTCTAGAGAGGGGAGTAAGGCACAGGTGGCAATCCCAGGGGTAATAACCATGACGAAGGGCTTCCAGTAGATCCCAGGCTGGCTGGGGAGTATCTCATTGTCCAGTGTTACATCGTTCTAAGATCAGGATGGGTGTTCTGATATTCATTGGACATTTCTGCTCTTCATTTTTCAAAATCTTTCCCAGAGTCTGTTTTTTGTTTTATATTGTTGGCTTTTTTTTTTTTTTTTTTTTTTAACGGGGATTGAACCCAGGGGCATTTGACCACTGAGCCACATCTCCAGTCCTTTTTATTATCATTATTATTGTTTTTATTCTGAGACAGGCTCTGGCTGAGTTGCTTAGGGCCTTGCTAAATTGCTGAGGCTGGTCTTGAACCTGCAATCCTCTTGCCTCAGCCTCCT